TTGAACTGTGGGAATAGTATTCAGACGTTAACACCAACAAATGCAATGATTCTTACTGTGAAAATAATATTCCGTCAGAACCAATTGTCTTTATCACACCTTCACACTACTGTCACCGTTTTTCTCAGAACGTAAATAAAACGCAGTCGGCTTCATCTTCTAGTATGAGCTCAAACTTGAGCTACAACACTTCCTTCTGCCATGCTATGTGTGTTTGTATGCTTGCATGTGCGTTCGATTGACTCCAAAGTAGATTTCGTCAAGTCCACACAAGCCTAACATCTAAATACCAATGGACTATTCAGTAATAGCTGGCCTCCAAATGGATTTTCTGAGGTTCTTTTGAAAGCCCTCAGCCAATGGGTTCATTGGTAGAACATTGAAAAACTATGCAAGTGACTCGTGGTTCAATCCCCGTCCGACGCACTCCTTTGCCTCGCCTAGTCGGTAGTAAACTTGGTACAGAGGGAAGGTTGGGCGCGAGGCTATCTATTTCGCCCCCCCCCACCAAAATATCCAGTGCTATTGAAGGTTCAAAGCACAGGCTTGAGGCCCTATGTTCCACTGAGAACGAGAAGGATCCAAGTCAGTCAGTCAATAAGTAAGTAGGTAAGTAAGTGAGTAAGCGAGTAAGTAAGGGATCTACTAAGTAGTGTCAGGATGGATTTTGATGACTCTGAATAGGTTGAGATCTGCATAGTAAGTTGACAGAATTAAGATTTCAAAAGCCATCTGATTCCAGGCTTGTAATCTCCTGCTCAGGGATTAGATTCCTGGTAAACTGGTAGGAGCTTACAATTAAAGAGCTACATACGGGGAGGAAAAAAATTATGCAGTTAATTGGTTTTTATTGATTCACCAAATGATAAAAACTTGTGGACAGTCCCATCACATATCTGGACATTATACATTTCAACGACCTGATCTAGGCAACTAGCTATCAAACAAAAAACACCACAATGTCTTTTTTGTTTAATTAAGTGATTATATTAAAACAAGACTAACTATATGTTAATTATCTGTTGGATTAGACAGGTAATACTGTACTGGTCACAAGAAATGTCAATCTTAAGTCAGAACCTATAAATAAACCACAGGAAGAGAATGTAATGATTGTAAAACATTTCCGGGAAATAGCTTCTAAGAAAATGCGAACGCTGAATTTGCTGAATAACTATAAAACGTAGAACTAAGAAAAACCTAATATGAATTCAGCAAGTGTTCATAAATATCCAGGACTGCGGTCAGTAGTTGGAAACGCCATTCAAAAATGAGTTTCTATCCGTAATATTTGTATCGAAATATAACCCATTCTATTCACCGTATTAAACAATAGTAAATAAGTATAGCCCAAATGTAGCTATTAGTCTAATTAATTGTACATCATTAGAATGTAAATGGGAAGCATTCAGAGATCAGCGTTCATATAGTTTATTGAACAAAATCTAAATCTAAGGCTGAGTTTGAAGTCGGCAAAATATTGACTACCTAACATTTACTGAGGCGTCGGTGGCACAGCGGTAGAGTGCACGCCAACCACACAGGTGGTCCGGGATTTGGTCCCCGGCCACTGCACTCCTTTACCTAAGCTAGTAGTAAAACTGGTAAAGAGGGAAGGTTGGGCATGAGGCCAGCAACCCCATCCTGTAAAAAATAATCACCACTATGTTCCACTGGGAACGTGAAGGAATAAAAAAAGACATTTACTAAGTATGCATTTATATAAGTCCATTAACATTTAGACAACCTGCTACTTCAGCTTGCCAAGGCTGAAGCCGAACGAAATGAGCTAAGGAATGGTGTGAAATTCAACTTCTTGATATATTTCGGTTTCAATAGAGTTGTCGATGATTCTGGGTACCATTAGAAGTTGGTTATTTGACATCAGTTGACGGGTGTCATTGTCTGTAGCCTAGGTTTTTGTTTCAACCCAAGTTAACGCCCTATTTCTCAAAAATAAGTTTTGAAAACCAAAGTCGTTTACAAAACATACACTCTGCTTGTAAACTGCTTAAATTATCAACAGATTATTTTAAATAAAGCAAGAAAAACAGTGGTTTGTGCAGAATAATATGGTACCATCATTTATTTCGTCGGCTTCTCATCAGCTGCTTACAGCCTAAATAAATTGTGAGGTTTTCGTACGAAACAAATTCCTACTGTCGATATGTTGATGACACATTTATAGTGTGCAGCAATGAAAGTCATGCTTCACACTTACTCGGTATATTCAATGATGCACACAGCAATATCGAGTTTACTATGGAACATGAAAGTGACGGAAAGTTTCACTTCCTCGACATTGCCATGGAACGCCTAGAAGACGGTAGTCTTCAAAAGTCAATTTATCGAAAGCCTACATGGAAAGGACAATACTTACATTTTAAAAGCTTTTGTCCAAATTGCTTTAAACGTGGTCTAGTCAAGACTCTGTACTATAGAGCGAGGAGAATATGCTCTATAGAGAAATTAGAGGAAGAATTTGAGTTTCTTGAAAAGATATTAAAGAGCACTGGGTACCCTGAAAGGTTCATCAACAAGTATGGAAGATCTGAAGTCACAAATGTAAAACAAATCACAGTGGGTAAAAAGCCAATCTACATTTAGCTTGATTATAAAGGTGAAAACATTGCAGCGATGATCAACAGAAGGCTGAGTACATCACTAGCTATAGCCTATCCTGCAGCAAAGCTCGTTCCCGTCTATCGAACAACTTGCTCTTTGGTGCAATCAAAATCGATAGAATCCTTCTCATGTCAACTCCAACTGCATATACAAATTTACATGTATCTGCTGGAGCAGTTACATTGGAAGGACAGAAAGAAGGGCATATCTACGATTTTCTGAACATGTACCAAAAAGCTTACGTTTAAAGGGAACAAATTCTTTAAACAGTGCCATCGCCAGGCATCTCCTCGACACGGGTCATGAGGTGGAAATCGAGAAATCCTTTAAAATTATCAATAGACAAAGGAGCTCCATTCTACTCAAGTTTGCCGAAGCAATTTCTATCAAACGCTTCAAACCAGATTTATGTGTTCAGAAAGAAGCAGTTGTTAGTCTTTCCTTGCCATGGTAACTGCATGTCTTTATTCTCTACTCTGATTACGTAATCTTTGTCTTCAACCTCACCCCTCTTTTCTTATAATCTGTAATATTGCTTGTCTCTTGTTTCTACGACGTGATTTGAACTCAGTACATCGTTACCAAATTTATTAGTTACTCATCATCTTACTCACCTCTCGTCTTTATTACGTAACCCCTTTACCATTGTATGCATACATTTATTTTGACTTGAACTGCCTGTGTAAAACTATATAAGCACAATTTTCTGAACACTTTTCACTAATTGTGGAACTTTCTGTCAAATGACAACATGTAAAATTTGCAAGTATGTTAAAACTTTTCTGTACGTAAACCTCACAATTTATTTAGGCTGTAAGCAGCTGATGAGAAGCCGACGAAATAAATGATGGTACCATATTATTCTGCACAAACCACTGTTGTTCTTGCTTTATTTAAATTCATCAAGGGGAATAAATGCATGAAGTTTCTCAACAGATTATTCAAAATACTTTGATGAAACTATCTTCTACATACGAATACGGTTAATACACGAGCCTCTGTAACTTCCTAACATGCTGGAAATGATTCTACACTGCACTTCATACAGATATTGTCACGAATCAACAACACTTAAAGAACCAAGAACTAATCAACGGGGGTTTTGTGCTAACTCGGGACTCTTTAGCAATACGTATTCACAAATGTAAAGTTGATTGAATTCAAAATCATTAGGTTATAAAGCTAAGCCATTGAAAGTTAGCCAGCGATCTAATCCCCATGATAAGAGGCCTACAACACAGTTAGTCATTCTAATAAACTGAGGCTCAGAGGTAGAGTTTTAATCATAATAGGTATAATCCTCGTTATTTTAAGTAGTTTGATGACAAAACCGATTCTGAAGTCTCTTCACTGCCTGCAAATTCAATTTTAGTTTGAATTAGTTGTGTTTTGAGCTGGTTGATTTAATTGCGAAGCTTCTATTGTTCTTCTAGACAACATCTTCAGCGAAGGTTTTAGTATGAAATGAACTTATTTGAATTATCCATGAACGGCACTTATTTGCATGTTCTGACAGCCATTGTTGTAACTGGTTGTTAATTTGCGTCTCCACTGGGCATTTTTATTGACTTGGAATTTGAAATTTCTTGTTATGTGATTTATTTTTTATCAGTTGGTAAATTTGGTCTATAGTAATATGTTTGTTAATCTCTGATTCATTTGAGTACCAGGCTTCTGGAAGTTTCTTTTCCAGTATTTTTAGTGTTTCCTCTATCTGAAATTTCAACATTATCACAATCAAATCGGTGCCCATAATTATCCACGTGCGTCGATTTTAAAGAATACATGTTATGCCTTTTCACAGCTGATATTTGTTCTTGGATTCGGACACGAAGGGACGCCCGCTTTGACCGATGTTGAATCTTTTGGTCTGCAAAATATCGAATGAATTGATTGTGCTGGCTGGCTTGTGTCCTATATCTGTTTCAAACGGTTTAAATATTCTGGTTGTTACTTCAGAGATATTTTTTATTTATGGTAGAATGAATTTTTTTGTAGTCTTTGATGATGGTTTTTTGCTGGTGTTATGACCCGAGTTTAAACATTTTTTGATGAAATTGTGAGGATATACATTCTTTTTGAAGACGGTTAGTTGGTGTTTCTCTTCCATTCTCTTCGGCACAGTAGTACCACAGTGTGTTTGGGCTCTTTTTTAAATGATATCTACACACAATTTCGTTTGTGAGTAATTGAGTTATAACCACTATAGTTGAGTATTTAGTCTGTGTGCGTTGATTTTCCCTTTAATTGTGTTTTTAAATTTCCACCTGAGCTACAAATCTTCTCCATTTTTGCGTACTTTCAGTTGGTTTGAAATTGAAATATCCCATTATGAAGTTTCTACTCTTCCCCAAGTTATAAGTGTCGTCAAAAAGCCTTAAACATGTATTCAAGTACTTCAAAATATTCCAAACATAAAGTCTATAATTTTCATGTTGTTAGATCTAACTACTTAAAGTAGTATAAAATATTTTAACTAATTTATTTTTCAATCACGAAAGATATTAACTTGCTATCAAAAATAAACGTTTTAATTGCTGTTAATCATTACTTTTAAAACCATTTCATGAGTGAAATACAATCAGTGTAACAATATTAGACATCAGTATGTGTCAAAAAAGATCAGAGTAGTTTCTAGATAAAATTTAGATGGTGTTAAATTCACCTCCCCATAGAAATCTATCGCATATCACAATTCAATGTCCTCAGAGGCATTAAGAAAACTTCTGAGTAGAACGGAGGTAAAACATCCAGAAATTTGATAAATTTAGCTTCACAATAGTGAGAAATAATTTAAAAATACTTTATTTTGAAGGAAATTGAAATTTTTATACGTTTAAAGACTGAAATGGAAGACAGAGAGATTTAGCGGAAATTTGCATTGGATATAATTTACTACCCATTATTTTCTTGATCAGTTCATATTAAACGATTTAATATTCAAAAAATGATTTCAATGATCCTTCCATTTGTTGATAAATCTCCTTTTCAATAGAACGCTTGATTACACTGTCATACATGCGAAGACGATTGAACATTTTAAAGAATTTAGTAAAGAAACCTCTACTATCGAATTTCAGTTTATTCCAATGAATCACGGTGACTTTTCTCACACTGACTGGTAAAGGCTGATAGTTCTTAGAGTTGTTCTTATTACTGTCCATTGGTTGTGAGAGTAGTAAATCTAAAAATATTTTAGTTGATTGCATTTTAATTTCTACTGGCTGGAGAAAAACAAAAAACAAAAAAAGGAAGACAAACGTAATCAATCCTATTTTAAAAATCTGTCATAAAAGCTTCACAAATCTAATAAATAGCCTGAAGATGAACTTGTGATCCGAGTATTAATAAAAACAGTTTTCCATATCTTATGAACGATAAAGATCGATATCACTGGCACTACTAATAACTCAATGACTAGGGTTCGATACCGGAAGGCAGTAAATGACTTGCTTGAGGACCGAATATGAGTATCTACTTTCATTCACTCCTGAACACCAGACCCGAAGCAAATAAGGACAGACGATAGAGTGGTCCAAGCAGGTGATAACGATGAGTCTTCATTATTCAGAAATGCATTATATAAAAAAACACATTGCTCATCTCCGAAAGCTAAGCCAATTGATAACTTATATGATGTCAGCTGGTTAGGGGCGTTTGGCAGACAGCCTTGAACCTAGTCTTTGTGATTGTTGGACTTCATCAGCAGTGTGTATCTGCAGTCTATTTGAGGAACTCATATCCCCTCTGACATTCGAATTCGGCCCCCACATTGGTACAATTACATAAGTTTAGGCCTCGAGGTTGTCTAATCGGATTATAGTAACAGTCTGCCTTAGCTCGATAGTTTAAATTTATTCAAACTGGTTTTAGCTGACTTTAAAATCACCTAAAGGATCGGGTTACAGTGGCTGAATAGTCTATGAGCTCGCCTAGTAACCGGTAGGTCCTACGTCTGAACCCCGGTGGATGAGCACTGTCGATGAATCCCAGACAAAGACGAAACGACTGCTCAGTACTCCCTGCAGGTTTTTTAGTGGTTCTCTAACTGATGTCACCTCGTGATCAAACCTGTAACATGTTTATAGAACTGTCAGGCCCTAAATAATACACGCCACATATATATGATTACACTTGCAACGTATCGGTAGAAATCTTCAACTCAGTGACAGTTGATGAATACAAATTTTGTCAGAATTTCAGATAAATACCTTAGGCTAAATGTCCATCGATTTCTCTCCGTACCAATGGTCTTTTCATAAATCGGTGTGTTTCTTCATGACTGACTATATGTGGGGAAAGGGAAGAATTAGGAATAATCAGGAAAACAGATTATATGTAGCTATGAACAGCTTTACAGTAACGCGCCTAATTTAAGTGCTGACTTACGTCCTATGAGAATACCCAACCAAGGATAATTGTTTTCACTGTGGCCATAACCACAATTTTCCTAATTAAGTTTAAAAATGCTACCTTTAGTGTAATCATTTTCAGATTTTACAATACGTCGAAGGTTTTCCAGTTTGGGTGACAATATTTATTGAAAATTCGCGTAGAGAGCAGGATGTATTTAGGCATTGTTCAACAAACAGTGCTTAGGTAACTGAGAGAAGTTTACCTGGGACTACAGATAACTAACAGGTTAAGTGTTTCAAGTTAATCACTTCTAATCATCCAAGCGTGCGTCGGTGGCACTGCGGTTAGGACGCTCGTTGACCATGCACATGGTTCGGGGTTCGACCCCCGGCTGCTGCACTCCTTTACCTCGCTAAGCCAGAAATAAAGCTGGTAAAGAGGAAAGGTTGAGCATGAAGTTAGCAACCCCATCCTGTAAAAAAGTAATCACCACTGCTACAGAAACTTCAAGCCTCTAGCTTGAAGCCCTATGTTCCACTGGGAACGTGATGAAATAAGAAAAAATCATCCAGGCACCAGACGATACCAATTCACCAATATTGATGATAAAACTGTGAATTCAATTGGCACAGGTTAATTTTCACTTGGTACCTAAACAGTGGGATATTATTTACGTCTCTGTAAGGGAACGCGCGATGTGTAGTATACGCTGGACAAAACTTACACTAACATTCTTACAACTAATAAATGAAGATTAGAATTTAAAAAAAAAAACAAACAAACAACCAAATTAACTTTCACTGAATTTTTCAATTACCCGAACTTTTCTCATGAACACTGGCATTTTCATTTGACCTTTTATTATAAGATAATCAAATAGTAGAGTAAATATCAAGTGTACATCACCTGATGGTAGGTCAACAATATCAACAGGTCCAGCGAATTGAACATCAGATAAACCGTTAATCTTTACATCAAAGAATTCAGTAGCACCAAATTTTATTGGATAACCAATTTTATACTCACTATCTTTACCATAATGAGTTAATAACTGTTTAATATGATATTGTAATACATTATTTGTAAGCAGTGAATTGCACGTTAATGATTGACTAGAAATGGTTGTATAAATTTCGTCAGTTTGAGATAGAACTAAAAAGAAGACAGTGATAGAACAAAAGGAATACAGTTTATGTGGTCATTATGATGATAAAAACAATGATGACTGGAAAAAAAATTGACATAGAACATGGTAACCACCGGTAAATGTAAGTTCCTTTCCATGAATTCAGCTTGTTTTAATCGTTATATTTACCTTGTTGATTATGTTGTCGTAAGTAACTAAAGTCTGTAAAGATGGGGAAAGTAGAAAGTGTTGTAAGAAGACCACAGTTTCACTCTGCTAATCTACTTCTGAAGTACAATGAGTAGTTAGTTGTTTCACAAACGGTTAATTACGTTTCCCCACTATACTGACTGTTAAAATGAAAATGACAAGTAATTAGAAACTGAGATTTCTGCTTTATCCAGTAGATCACTTCAATAACAAAGATGATATTAAGTTCGGCAATCTAAAAAGTATCTCAGTGGACCTACCATTTCAGTCTTATTTACACTAAAAACAAAGCTCTGCTACGGAAGAATATTACTCTGTCGAATGAAGTAAATATTTGTAAATGGACTCCGATTAATAAGCTGGTCCAAGACACTTAATCGTTCTATAGGACGAAGAGGTTACTCACTTAAAGGAATAGACAAGATCATTTCGGTAAGATATGGTCAACTGAGAATATTCCAAGGCTTTGGAACGAATGATTAGTGACTTGTAATAATAATGAGCGATAACTAATCTGTTATCTTCAAGAGTTGATTTGCAAGAATTTGATCTGTTTTTCGAGTTTGACCACGGATTGTTATCAGCTGGCGAACTACTGAAAATCAGGGAGTCCCCGACTAGGATGAAACAGCTGTCCAGTACTCCCTGGTCGGTTTCCAATGGTCCCCTAACTAATGTCAATCAGTGGTCAGACTTGAAAAACTAATCTGTTATGATTAGCCTCAAGGACACTGATTGGCATCAGTTAAAAACTGATTTGTCATTTTTAACTATGGAGGTGGAGATCATGTGTTCAGTGTCCAACACCTACAGCAACACTATCATAAATGTCGCTTGTTAAGAAGTACTGTATTTCTTGTTGCATCAAGACTGAAAACAATTCATCTGTGGATATGTTTATTTAATGGAAGGTTCTCAGAAAAATTTAATACATTAGAAAAAAATCATCTAGACTGAAGGTACAAAACATTCCATCGCCATTCTTACAGATTTGGATAATATTTGGACAAGCCTATTTGATTTGACTACTTCACTTTAATTTCGTCATCATTAATATTAACAAGATAGTTCCAAATGAACCATATGACAATAACGTAAATATGGTACTCCACATTAAGTATACAAAAAATATCGTCTAACTGTGGGATAATATACAGACTATTGAAAAAGCGCAATTTCTGTTAGTGTGATATATTCTTTGAAATACTGATGTATAAAGCCTAGGTTTATACTTATTCATGGAGGTGATATTTGAGAAGTGGTCAAAATAAGTGAGCATTTAGTTGGTTGTAATTATTTGAAGAGGTATGACAGGTGGATCTTCAGCGTAGCGGCAAATAGTCAGCTCTATAGCACTCTGGTAAGAGGATTTGTTCAAAGCTTGTGAGACTTTGAATTTCTGAATTGGGAATGTTCACCGATTCTGAGCATTTGATCATTATGATCTCAATAAGACTGTTCACTTGCAATGATGGTAGCATGCATGTAGTGGAATTTATTTGAGTATGATGATGACCCTATTCTAAATAATGGCTAGTTATGTTAGTTAAGCGATAAGTAAAAGTGAGCGAACCAATTTATCGAAAATTAGAATCTCTGGGGCAGAGATACTAAATGATTGAGCTAAACTATAAGTGCCCTAACACTGAGCCTCCAATCTATCTTAATGCATAAATGCTGATACAAAAATCGATAGTATATTCTGAATGAGGTATCGTGAACTTGAGTCGACTGACGGTATAAGACATGTTGCTAACCTATTTAAATATATTAGAATAAATGTGTCCAAATACTATTCCACTTATGTGTATTTTGTATGACTTTGTAACATGTCTCATACAATCAGCCGTTAGTTTCTGTTCGCCCAATGAACATACTAGTAATAAGTCGTGACCAGTAGGGTATATCAGGTTGAAGGTGAGGACAGTTACTCATAGAAGAAGATATTGCGAAGTGGTCGCACTATGTCATGGATTTTCAGAAGTTAGAGTTCATGGACTGACCATTGGATTGGGTCCCAGTGGCCGCTGAATGGCCTACAAGCTAGCTGGCCTTGTAACCTGAAGGTCCCGGGTTCGAACAGTGGCGGTGGTTGCCTACTGGTGAACAGTCCCAAACCGGGACGAAACACCTGTCCAATACTCCCTGCAGGTTTTCCAATGGTTCTCCAACTGATGTCAGCTCATGATGAAATCCTCCGACTAATAAGTTACAATTGTAAAAATACAATTATGTAAGCTACATGATAAGTAGATTTAAATTTGATTTATTCCAGATCAACTCAACGTTATACCTTTGAAAGTGTTATAAATACGGCTTATCTCAGACTATATTTTGCCATTGATTGTAGTTAACTAATTCATTTGTTGACAATACCTCATTTGATGTAGTTTTAAATGATTTCTGGGTAGGAAATCAATGTGTGATTAACAGCTGTTATGGTAAAATACTTCAAAATACAATACACGATTCATTCTGCTTGTGCCAGCTGTACCTATCAATTCCCAACTAAACTGTTAGAAATCTCCTCACCTAGTGTGCAGTTTGACCGCTAAGATAAGTGTCCTGGCGATTCTGTGTATCCTAATGATGTCTTTTTATTAGTGTTAGGGGTCAATAAACACGGCGCTCTCATTGACCCAGGTTTGGTGCTGATTAACGTATAACCATATTGAAGAATCTTATGTTTCCTTAAAGATTCAAGTATTCACTACTGTCTAAGCACTCAAACTCCAATAGGTGGAGCGGTGTTTTGACCAGTATCTCATATACTGTTAGCAATCAATCTGTCGTTTCAAAAAGAGATAGGCTCAATAAACTAGCAAATAAATATCTTTTCATGAACAGTGAATAAACGCTACAATAATAAATATATTAAGAACTCATGAATAGTGTGACGAACAGTATACTTACCAATATTATAAATTAATACAATCCATAGATAAATGCAATAATTCATTTTGTCACTTAAATTCAGGTAACATGTAAATGCTCTATATATATATGTGGATATGGATAGATCAATAATTGTTTCGCCACCAATCTGCAGTATAAAAGTGTGTTTATTTTTACGGATTATTTATGTGATGAAAATTCTATATTCCAAACAATAATTTTATCAATAAGTAATCAATTCTTAGGTGATGGAAAACAGTCATTTTCAGTAACTTCATTCTATACCTATGTGAGAGGTTAAATCAATGACTACCAACTCTTCAGTTGACCGCGTTACAGTTTAGTCAAATAAGATTTCAATTCATCAGTTTCAGTAGTCTCGATTTCTAACTTTATCTAGCATGATCATCATAGCTATAAACTGCTGAAGCGTCTAAAGAAATGGACAAAGGAACTGTCCAGTGAATCCTGTTCTTTCAGTGATACACTGGCTGTCGCCAGCTTGTGATGAGATCTAACTTGAACCCAAATCTTTGCGTCATCTCCCTACCTATTATTTGTAACCTTGATTTGTACACAATCTGACCTGTATTGTAATGATTCATGCCTTCTATAAAACTGTATATGACAAGTACGTGTGTAACCAGAATGTCGGAAATGTGCTGCGCAAATACATTACACGTTTCAGATACGCTACTTCTTATTTGTATTTTTTTATATTTTTTGATTACAGCTTAATTCCACACCGTATTTTTCGGTACAGGTATGGAATTTTCAGCATGTGATATCAGTAGCCCAAATTTTGCAGGCCGACCACAAATATCAGGTGTACGTCGGTAGGGGATCGAACCCCGGACCATGTGCATGGTCGGCGAGAGTCTTAACCACAGTGCCACGGACGTATTGTGTTGTTGAATCACTGAAAAGTACAGCTGAATATGAAAATAACTCACTTGTGCAAAACGTATACATATATTCACCGTATTTATGTTGTATGCAGTTATGAATAGTTTAAATCACTTGCTCCAGAAACACATTTTAATTGCAGATTATAATTATTCGAATTTAATATTGCAAATAGATTTTCACCAAAGTATTATTAAGTCTGGATCGTACAACTGACTCACCAATCGCTGAACAATTAAAAATCACTATTTTTTTCCTTCATGTTCCCCAGTGGTACGTAGGGCTTCAACCTAATGGCTTGAAGTTTCTGTAGCAGTGTTTATTTTACAATTTTACAGGATGGGGTTGCTAGCCTCATGCCCAACCTTTCCTCTTTACCAGCATTATTTCTGGCTCAGCGAGGTAAAGGAGTGCGTTGGTCGGGGATCGAACCCCGGGCCATGTGCATGGTCAGCGAGCGTCCTAACCGCTATACCACCGACGCACAAAAAAACCACTATATTGACCGTTAATGTGTTTTAACAGACTGTGATTGCTTGAATTACTTAGTTCATAGTCAGTTATTATTTTCTGCTCCAAGGATCAGCATACATTTTAGTGCTTGTTTACATCTTCAAGATATGAATTATAAATATCTAGGAGAGGAATCCATATAGTTAACGCTAAGACAGTTCCTCCAAAGAGAAAATAAGATCACTGCATAACAATACTGAACCAATCTAACCAGAACAAAGCGGTGTATCACAAATGAAAATCAGTAAGTTAAATAGTAAATTTTTAAGAGTTGTTTTGTAGGGATTTGATGTGTTTCAAGTTTGACATCAGTTAAAGAACGATTGAAAACCAAGAAGTACTGGACAGCTGTTTCGTACTGATATCAATTCGCGGTCAAAATCTTGAAACATACCAAATCCCTACAAAGTAACCCCTGAAAGTTAATCTGATGCTCGCCGGTGACTGGCTTCAGGACGGAACTGCCTGGAGTTCTAGTGAAAAGTTGTGACCAGTGGGGCCAGTCCTGTAGGAAGTGAGGACAAATACTTACCAATGACATTGACTGGTGGTTCCGCTAGAAATCACGAATTCTTAGAAGTTGGAATTCATCAGCTGGCCACTGAGTTGTGTCCCGGTGACTGGATGGTCTACGAGCTTGACTTGTAACTGGAAGGTCATGGGCTGGTTTCCTGGCGGTAGGTACGTACTATCGACGAGTCACAAAGTAGGACGAAACAGATGTCCAGTACTTCCTGGATGTCAGTCCGTGGTATAAATTGAAATAAATAATAAATATCCTTTTAATGAGACTTAGTTTTACATATTTTCGCAAACTGATTTCTGTTTTTTTAAGGCGATGGATTAAGATATAAAAAAATGAAAGCATGAGTACCATTCGGATTCAGGCTGGAGACCTTAAGTTGATAGACCCAATTACTGTATAATTAAACTTTATCCAACTAAGATTTCATCCACTTCTCATGTAAATAAGAGATGGAAAGTGCTAAACTATGCGTTAATTATCGTCAGTTTTCTGAACACAGTTCTAAGGAGCAGATAATTAACTGTTTGTCAGGATAGCTGAGATGGGCTACTGTGAACATATTTGTTGTAAAACAATGGCAGGTTCCATATCTTATGGTTGTTAAGAAACACTAGCTCGAAATACTGCCAAATTCAAAAATTTCGACTCTTGGTCCTATTGACTATGTTAAATAAATGGCACTATGATCCTCTTTCACTTGGATTAGTTACCACTAGACAAACTGAGTTATGAAAGTTCAGCTGACACTTGAATACCTTCAAAATAACCAATTAAAGTTCTAAATATTCCATCATATAGACTTTGAACTTCCTTATGAAAACAAAAAAAAGAATCACAGGTAGAAAAAAGTTTTATTTACCCCAATTTATATAAAAACAACACCAACAAAATTCAATAGTTTTTTTGGCTAAATGTTTGTCAGCCACACTGGAGATTCACCTTCGTTTCCAAACTGATGCCCTCTTGAACATCACTTAGTGTACTAGCCACTAGTAAACTCAGCAAAAAGAGGAAAGGCTGGGCGGGAGATTAGCAATCCCATTCCATAAAAAGAATAACTTGGATCCTTTTATCCTATTCGGGATGAAAACGAATGGATAAAAAAAAATCGAATTAACTGGATAAAAGAAAAATTATCTCATTAAATAGACGAGTAATTTTTAAATCTTTCCTTTTTAATACGTTCTAATCGTTCAATATTTCTCATTCGTTCATTTGCTACTATTTTTGATTCATGTGTAATATGTAGATTATAAATCATTAATATCAACCATATAATAATAATAAATATACTCCATATTATAAGAAATATTAAACCAATTAATATATCATTTTCTCCAGGCCATTTATAATGAGATTTTTGAATTTTTAATGAATATGATAATTTTGGTTGAGGATGCCATTTAGTCGGTTGACGTGTATCTCTTGTATAACAACTGTATACATCAGAATCATTTAGTCTTACATCAAGAATAATTAATTCACAAGCTTCATTCATATAAATTCTTTCGTGTAATATTGTACGCCGATAGAATGTTTGATTTTTTGTACGCCAGATAATTGGATAATAATTATAATCACATACATAGGCATCAGTAATACGACAATCTAGCTTTAAATAGGCTTCATGTTCAATTGACAATTTTTCAAGTTTCATAAATCTAATATCACTATAACCTAGAATATTTAATTTCATTTTAGAAATATCACGTTGTAAAGCTAAATTAACCATTTCTATAGCATTTGATTCACCACAACTTATATCATATGTTATTGTAATATGTAAATTGAATATGTCCAGTGGTTTAAATTTCCCTTCTAAATTAGGTAGCTGTTTAAAAAGATTATATTGACACGGGATGTATAGATTATTTTCATCCATAAATAATTTAAAACCTAATACAATAGCTGAATTTTTAGCTGATTTTTCAAGTAAAGGCCATATAATTGATTGTTCTTTATCATCATAGAATTGTCCAAATTCACTGAATGCATTCAATAAAACAAGATAAAGTAATTGAATTTCTTCTGTATAAATACTAATATCATCATCTGTTAGTCTTCTTGGAATATTTATATAACAGACACGATTTTGTCTTATAACAACAGGACCACATTCTTCTTGATGTGTTAAATTATTAAATGATTTTGATGTAATATGCAATAGATTAAACTGTTGATCGTGAAAATCATCAGATAGATTGATTTCATCTTCAACTTTTTTTTGTAATTCTTCTAATTCATGATAAGAATTAACAGATTTATCCATTTGACGTATAACTGGTGGCATATCCATTCGATGTGATACTTCTTCATATGAATTAATATAATCAATATGATACCAGATAAAATTTAATGGATGGTTTGTTTCATTTAGTGAACGGCATACATAAGTACCTGAATCACTGTATGGATTAAATCGTGTAAATACTAATTCATTTGTAGCGCTTATAATACACGGGTCATTAGTTTGTAAAACACTATTCACTGGTTCAAACAAACTTTCATCAAGTATCCATTTACTATTGTAAAATGTTTCGGCGTCAAGTTTAAAAATTGACTTATCATATTTATGACGAGGTATACGAAACCATTGAAAATTTGATATATTTTCATCAGGGCATATATGACAGACTAATTCTAAACTTGTATATTGATCACGTTGAATAAGTTTAACTATATGACGTTGTTGAGCTAAATCAGATTGTGTTGGATAACATTTCTCTGGTTCAGCATAATAGGATACATTTTTATCACCAGTGCAAATATTTAATTCACACTGAATTTTTAACAAATAAACTAGAAATAATAACAATAATAACACGATAAGTGATTTACATGGAATAAAATGAGTCAACTTCATAATAAGAAAATGTTAGCATTTTGGATATGACCTTGAGTTTAAAATTATTGATCACTTTCATTGGTTAAATTATCAAGGTGAACAGACAATAATATACATTAGAAACGAAAGTGTCTTATACCCTTAAAGATGATTATAAAATCTGTTGACAAAAATTAATTAATGACAAGATAAACAAAAGCTCATACTTTTTACAATGTTTTATAACAAATCAGTCATCTTATTTATTTTATTGATTTGCCGAATAAAATATAGCGGTAAGTTTGATGTTTGTGAAACATTTCGCCTGTTGAAATTTCACGGAAAAAAAATAGGATAAATAACTTTCAGGACATGAATATATATTATTTTGGTGTAGTTTAAGGATGTCTCAGACACTCCTGATGAATTTTAGGTGAGATATTTGCCATATTTGATCAGTAAACCATTTTAAGGATGAATCTGGGATTAGTAGACAAAAAGTAGTCTGATAGCTAAAGGGTTTAGCATAAAATGTAGCTTGAAAGCTGTTGATAGTTGTAATGAACAAGGACCAACCCAAAGAATGGCATCCATGGATTGAGAACGCACCAGTGACCTTGAACTCTCACTGTTCGTTGGATTACAGAACCTAGCATTATTGCAGTACCACCGTGAACATTGTACACGAGTTGAGGTGTAAAATTTCCTCCTTATCTCATATTTAAGTACTGTTTGGATAATGGGTTAATAGCACATCGTCACAAATGCTCTTATGGAGGTTGTATGCACATCAAATGTATTTGATGGACATGTATTCAGATGTACAGACTGTAAAAATAGAAGTAGCGTTCGAAATGGTAAGTTACACACGTTATTGATTAGTTTCTAGGATTTTTCTTTTAGAAAACAAAGCTGTCGCTGACCAACATACTTTTTATCTGCTATTATTGGGTTATGATGACTGAGGTGAAATCCACGGCTGAATAGACCGGAAATTCGTTGGTTTTAACTATCCAATGGTGCTAGTATTGTAGGGATATAGCGTCATGGAAGATGAATACCGCCAGGTAGATTTGAGGAGGCGAGGGAGTTATTGTTCATATAGATGAAATGGTTTTGATAAAGAAATACAACCGTGGTCACTCTAGGGAGGATAATGTTTGAGTACTAACACTTTACGACACTACCATTGGTAATGGAATTGTGGAAGTAATTGCCAATCGTAGTGCCAAGCGTCTTCTACCTATTATACAACGTTTAGTAATTCCGGATAGTACAGTTCATACAGATGAATGGGTGGGATAAAATCGGTTATCAGAGTTGGATTCCATCCATCATAATATCAATCATTTAGATGATTTTGTCAACCACCTTATCGTAGCACATACTATTTCGATCGAAGGCTTTTGGGAAAGGCTGAAGAACAGAATTTGAGTGATGTCACTTTTATTCATCTCAATGAGTATATATGTACAGAAACGGGTTTAACTTAAAATCTGATACCCTTCATCGTTATTGGGAAGTATTTCTGACTCATGACAGGAAAAAATATTCTCTTTAATGTATTCTATTATTATTATTATAATTATCTGTATTTTTCTTTTCCCATTGGTCGTCTTGAAGGTCAATCGTGAGTTCTGACTTCGTGGTCGCTGTTCTTTATGTTTACCTGAACAGGAATTAAATATAATTAAGATAAGCATAAATATGAAAGAGGGAGAATTAAGCAGTTGAAGACTATAACTTTTGAAAATGAGAAACAATGAACATCTCTCCATCAACAAAGTTCTATCCCCACTGGTGTTAGTTAACAGTATTATACTGTAGAAAAGATAGTGAACATTTATTATTATTGTTGCCTTGGGTTCCTAGTGGAACATAGGGCTTCAACTGCACGCCTCCACTTGTTTCTGTCTTCTGCTGTACTTTTCATCTGCATCCATGTTAGTCCATACTGTTTCAGCTCCTCTTCACACGATCTCCTCCATGTCACCCTTGGACGTCCCACTCACCGCTTCCCTTTCGAGTTCCACTCGAGCTATGGCCTGACGCGCGATGTCACCCAGCGGCCTCCTCAGCGGGTGTCCAATCCATCTCCACTTTCTCCTCCATATTTGTTGGGCGATTGGTTCCTGTTTTGTTTGTTCCCATAGTTCCTTGTTGGTGATTCCTTCCGGCCATCTGATCTTCAGTAAAGAGCGAAGACAGTTGTTGATAAATGTCTGCAACCTGTTGGAAATATTCTTTGTGACCCGCCAAGTTTCTGATCCGTATAGAATAACTGACTTGATGTTTGTATTGAAAATCCGAATTTGTTGTTGATGCTGAGTTGAGTGGCGAAGATTTCCAGATTGGTTTCAGGTTGATGAATGTGTTTCTCGCCTTCCCGATTCTCGCTCGATTTGACATCCTCGTCCGTTCCTCCTGTGGTTGAGACAATGCTCCCTAGATAAGTGAATGAAGTAACCTGTTTCAAATCCCTCCCGTTGATGGTGATTGGCGCTGGATGTTGTTGTTGTTGGTTGGTTATTTTCATAATCTCCGTCTTGTCTCTGTTCACCTGGAGTCCTGTCTTCACCAGCTGCTTCTTCGACCAGTTTGTCGGTTTTCACTTGTAAGTCTTCGATTTTTTTGAGTTCCGACTGGAACATAGGGCTTCAACAACACATCTACACTTTGTTCTATCTTCTACCATCCTCTTCAGCTGGGTCCACGATTGACCAAACTCTCTCATCTCTTCCTCACACCATCTCCTCCATGTCACCCTCACACCAACGACCTACTCTCGCTTCCCATTTGGATGCCACTCGAGTGATTGCCTGCTATGTGATGTCATTCGATGGCCTTTTCATTGTATACCTGATTAATCTCTATTTTCCCCTACATATTTGTTGAGAGATCGGCTCTTGGTTGGTTTTTTTCCCAGCCAGAGTTTCTTGTTGCTTATTCTTTCTCGCTAGCCATTTGATCTTCAGTATGGAGAGAAGGCAGCTGTTGATGAAAGTCTGAAACCTGTTGGAAATCATTTTGGTGACACGCCAAGTTTCTGACCCGAGCCTGCTGTAGTCTTTGTTTTCATTTGAATGAATCTCTAAACTTGATATTTTTAATTTATGATGCTGAAACTTTAGTCAACAGTATCATTTATCTGTTTGTAATAAAATTATCCGTCTTATAATGTCTAAAATAGGTGGTCATGGAGATATTAGCCTAACGAGTCAGTCACTATTAATGAGTAAGGAGGTTGTGTATTTATTTGTCACCGGAAAGGAGGGGGAGGAATTGTAGTTCCATAGCAGTCTAGTATAACGGAATGTTGAACTTCTAAGTAAATTGTCAGAGTGAAATCAAATTATTAATGAATATCGTGATAATAGTAGGCGTTTATATGACATATCCCTTTTCTGAAGTGGCGCCACCCCCTTTATCCGTTGGGTAATAAGACGTTTCAATAATTAGGCTAAAGAATACCGGCATGGTTTCATGAAAATTCAATAATAAACTTTAAACTTTTAAACTTACTGCCTCCTTTAATCCATCACCCTGAGCAGATATCAGTATAAAACAATATTTTCAGATAAAAGTGCAGCAAATGTAAGGCAGTCTAACAATATAATGCCACCAATAATATATATACACATCAGAAAAACATTTCTCATGCAAAATTTCATTTAAAAAGCATACAAAAAAATATAACTTGTTATTGAACAACCACAGCAGCGGACTACGAAGCTACAATTAGTGGGGATGTACAATAAAGTCACTCGATAATAGTTGTACAAAGATATTATTTACTTTTGTCTGACCTGATACATAGGGAGAGTTGTTGTTCTACTTGTATTTGGGTTGAACATTTATTCTGTGTGGAATTAAATAGACCAAATAAATTTCGGCGGAAAGTCCTAATGATTTGTACGGTTTCCATGGATAGTAATCGGATTCGTGCAAATTTGCAGAACTGCATAATAATGTTTTATAGAATCGTGAAAATTCAAGTTCTGTTAACTCCTTGGCTTTTTTTACATTGTACTAAATAGTATTTAGATTCTGAGGAAGTTGATAGTTCTCATATATAGTCACCCTTGACAACGCTCAATTCCTCTAAATGAGTAGTTAAATTCATGAATAATAATAGAAAGTTTTGGAAAAATTCTACATCTAATAAAACCATGTTCTTCCCGACAACAAGCAGTTTAAATATATATAGCGAAAATATTCAGACATTTAAAAGACAAAAGGAAATTTGAGCAATATCTCCAGCTTTTTGAAACATGAACTTGACTTATGATTGATTAGTATTAGGTACATCATAAAGAATTTCAGCATTACTATTAATTGTCAACGCAATATAGGGATCATTTATTGATTATGCTTGAAGGAAGCTGTTTTCCTATTTCACTAAAACTAAATGGGCTAGAAAGGGACCATTGAAAATTTGACTGTCATACCTCCTAATTTTATTAATTTAGCAAAACATATGTGTATACTGTAAAAATGAATTGGTCTGGTTGAAATGAAAATGAGGTACAATCATGAAACTTTCTTCATTTCTTTGTGTTGCCAGTGAAATACAGGGCTTCAAGCTTTGACGTTTCGGTGACGTCATGTTTTTTCACTAAGTGCGGTTTCTAACCTCGTGCCCAGCTTTTCCGCTGTACCGAGTTCACTACCTGCTAGGTTCGAGTATCTTGGACAGAAACAGAACCCTGGCCTACTGATATGCTGGCAAGCATTTCACCACTAAAACTGCCTGTACACTGACTTTTTGAAATAGACGTCACAGCTTCTGATGTAAGGACAAAACCGAGGAGAATACAGTTGGCAGATGCAGTTGTCAAAACTACAAATCTCCATATATCATTATCACAGTTAACATGTTCTTTTGAACCTTATTGTAAAAATTTTTACAAGATGTCACCAATCATTATTCTAAATTTAATGTGGATTTTCTACTTATAGTCAAAGTAGAAAATGCAGTGTACAGTTCAGGATTCTGGGTGATGTGGTTAAGAACTAATCACATAAACCTATTTATACATTCATGCCATATATATTAATCTTAAATGTAATATAACGTTGGCTTATTTGTTCTTCTTTCTATTTACTTCCTTTTCTTCATTTGTTTCTCAGCATATTATGATTCTTAATTACATATTTTTATTTCATTTTATTCCTTTGCGTTCCGAGTAGAACATAGGGCCTCAGTCTTGGGTTTGGAAGTTTCCGTAACAGGGGTGTTTTTTACTGGTTGAGGTTGCTAGCCTCGTGCACAACCTTCCCATTTTACGCAGCCTACCACTGATTAAACAAGGCTCAGGAGTAAGCCGGTTGGGAGATGAATCTTGAACTACTTGTAGAGAAGCTGGCAAGAATTCTACTGCTAAAATACCAGCACAGTTTAATTGTATGGCTTTTGGTTTTCACCTTCATTTTAATAATCTTCTAGCTTTGACCACCTACTTTGTTAGAGTTTATCTTTCTACCTATCTCAACGCATGTTCTAACTCTTTTTTCAGGCTTTAATTTTACCTCGTTAAACAATGAGCCTATATGTGCGCTAGCAGAACCTCCAGTCGATTTAAACACTGGTTCATTAGATCAACTTGTTAATGGAATTTTAAAAAGCCTTTTCATTGAACAATCTGTTATACAACTTAATCAATCCATTGAAATATTTCCTGGTTTTGAAGTTAATAATATCTCAGTCTATGGTTTAAATTCTATCCAACTTTCATGTCCAATCAAATTAATTACAAGAGATAAACTTGGATGTTATTATAGAGGTTTAATATTGGATACATGTTTAGGATTTGAAAAATTACAACTGAATTTTTCTATAAAAACTATTCTACCAGGATTTGAACAAGAGGTAAGTATGAATTTTATATTCATGATTATTATATGAATAAGCTTAATTACAAATAAGTGGCTATATAAAAACAAAATTCAGCTGAGGACAAAAACTATTCCTGGGAGTACAAAATGTACTACTGAATAGTAAAGGACAAGACAACAAATGACGATATTAAAATCCTAATTGGTGATATGAACGCCAAATTGGGAGCAGATAACACTGGAGGAGAGCTCATTACAGGCTGAGAGGCTGTCAGCAGAATGAATGAGAACTCAGTACTGTTTGTAGATTTCTGAGCGTTCAATGATTTGGTGATTGAATTCAGCCTATACAAACAAGAGGAAATACACAAAGCGGCATGGGTTTCACCCGACAGACACATCAAGAAAATGGAGACGCAGCCTGCTGGACACAAAATAGAGAAGATGGGGACTCACATCATTATCTAGTACAAAGAACTTTCAAGGCCAACCTGAAAACCTTCAAAACAACTGGACACAGAGCACAATCCAAGTCCAACACTCAGAAACTGAAAGACGAAACTAAGAAGAACACCTGTAGTGCAATCATTCTAGCGAAGTCAGGGACATTATGCGGCATCACTGAGGAAATATGTGCTGGGGAACACTGAAACTCTCGCAAAGTGACGTTGGAGGAATTCTGCATGGCTATCTTGGGAAGAAAGAAGAGGTAGGATAAGGAATGGCTCTCAACGGATCGGCGGAGGTTAGTAGAAGAAAGAGGGATAGTTAAACTCAAGATGAACTAGTGCAAAGATAGATAACGAAAGGAAAACATGAATTTGGTATACAGCAAAGTGAATAATGAAGTGATGAAGAGTGCTAGGGAATACAAAATACAACTCTACGACACACTGACAACTGAAGCAGAACAGGCATCAGGTAAAAGAGACCTCAGAAAATCACATCAGACTACCAGGTTGTTATCCAGGAAGAAATCAACACAGATGAAATCAACGAAAGGTAATCAAAGGAACCTAATTATCAAAGAGAAGAAGCAAAGGAAACATTGGGATGATCAATTCAAAAGACTACTGAACCGACCAACATCTGCAACTCGTTCAGAAATGCTAGTGAATAATGATCCTCCAACAAAGCCATATGTCTTGAATTCAATCAAGTTACTGAAATCCAGTTGGGAAGGCAACAGCACCAGGCGTAATCCCTGAGTAAGCACTGAAAACGAATCCAGAGGCCTCAGTAGATGTGCTTACACCGCTCTTGCTGAAGGTTTGGAAGAAGCAAAGGTACCTACCGATTGAGAGAAGAGCTACCTAGTCAAACACCAGATATTTTTTATCATTGTTATCTAAACATCAGTTGATAGTTTTTTTTGTTTTTAAATTGAGCTAGTCAGCAGTGTTACTGAACAAACAGTTACAATGAACTCCTTCAGGAAAACTGAAATTGATTGGCGGAGTATAACGCGTCGAAAACTAGCCATAAGTAATTCACTAATCGATGGTCACTTCCATAGTATACTAGTTCAGTCATTTTAGGTAAAGAATATTACCACCTTAAATGATTTTTTCGTTAATTTAAATGGTAAACTGGTGTCCATATAGGTGAAACTCTTATTTAATGCATAATTAGTGTGGAAATTGATAGAAAACTGTACAAATTAGTCTTAATACTTGCCTATCCACTGTGTTAGCTTTAACGTTTCAATATCTGAGACAGTTGTCTGGAAACACTGCTTGGTAGTTTGAATCGAGAACATTACAGAGAAGAAAGAGCTATTTATATGTGCGAAATATCACTAGTGAACTATGCGACGTACTAGTAACTTGTAAATCAAACATTTATTTCCGGAAACATAGTTCATAAAATAATTACCTTAATTGCAGTTAGTTGTTCTAATATCTAGTTAGCACACATTGCAATTTAACAAATTTGGTACTGAATGTTAACGAAAATAGTTGTCTAATTTTTACTTTATTGATTATAATCTACCAGTTTTGTATACAATGTTACACGACACTCCAGTATCCTCTAGTGAAAATCATGTTACTAAATGGTAACAGTTAAGCTAACTTTGGTTGGTTAATTCCGATCGATAAGATAGGCATTAAGTAATTACACTGATTATCATTTAGTAACCATTTTGTGTTCATCAGACATTTTCACAGGGAGCTAGATGTGGCTTAAACAGATTAGCGGGGAATTTTTTAACCTTAGCACACTTCCGAATCCTGTGGCGGGTAGGGTTTAACCAGTGCTGTTGGGAAATTTTAAAGAACAGAGGCAACAAGCATACAACGCAGGCTCATTACTTTATGACGACACGCTCGCAGCATCTACTGCTGTGAAACATTAGGAATTAAAAACATGGACCATTCGGGTGTAACCAATTAACTGAAGAGTAGCTAGGGAGTGGGGATCGAGTTCCCGCTGATGACACTGGTTGGTGGTCGCGCTAAAATCGTGAACTGAGAGAAGTTAGAATTCATGAACCATTGAATCGGGTCCCGGAGACTGAATGGTATACGAGCTTGCCTTGTAATCGGAAGATCTGGGTTCGCACCCTCACGGTGGGTGCGTACTACCCGTGAGTCCCTAAACTGGGACGAAATAGCTGTCAAATACTCCCTGGTTTCTAGGGGTTCTCTAACTGATATCGATCCGCGGTCTAACCCGAAACAAATAGAGTCTCAACAAACTTATCTGAAGATCTGGTTGTCATAATCTTGATCGTAGATTAGTAGTGAATTAGTGCTTCAGGCTAGGATGAAACAATTATTCAGTATGGAGGATTTCATCATGAGCTGACATCAGTTAGAGAACCACTGGAAAACCTGGGAGTACTGGACAGCTGTTTCGTCCTACTTTGGGACTCTTCAGAAGTACGCGCCCACCGGGATTCGAACCCAGGACCTTCTGGTTACAAGGCGAGCTCGTAGACCATTAAGGCACTGGGACCCGATCCAATGGTCCATGAATTCTAACTTCTGCCAATTCACGACATAGCGCGACCATTTCGCAATGTCTTCTTAGATGAGTTACTGTCACATCTTCAACCTGCTGTACCCTACTGGTTACGGCTTCCCACTAGAACCCCAGGTTAACTGCCTGAATAGTAACTCATCTAAGAAGACATTGCGAAATGGTCGCGCTATGTCGTGAATTGGCAGAAGTTAGAATTCAAGGACCATTGGATCAGGTCCCAGTGGCTCAATGGTCTACGAGCTCGCCTTGTAACCAGAAGGTCCTGGGTTCGAATCCCGGTGGGCGCGTACTTCTGAAGAGTCCCAAAGTAGGACGAAACAGCTGTCCAGTACTCCCAGGTTTTCCAGTGGTTCTCTAACTGATGTCAGCTCATGATGAAATCCTCCATACAATTAAACAAAATCCCTACCAAACCAATACTTGAAAATTATTCAGTAGTTTATCGTTTTTTTAGTTCACTAAATGATACTGATTCGTAATGAAATTCACTTAAAGTCGAAAGAATTTAAATTACGTGATTTCAACAACACAGTTCAACTGGTGGGAAATAGTTCCGTTCATTCGAAGGCAATATATTGCTGAGAAAAACGTACTGCCGAATTTGAAATTCAAACTGTTATAGTATTATAACACGCTCTACATTCAATTCTGTGGAAGTCTTCACATCATTGTATATACTGAGAAAGATATCTGAAAGACAGAATATAGAGGGTTATCGAATAAATCCAAGGAGATTTCAAGAAATGTTGTAAAATCTGTACAGATTTAAGGAAAATAAAGGCGATTACTCAAACACGTTTTGCTATCTTTGGCATCTGATCTCTGGAATGTAAAACCCGTCAGTATACTTGAATTTGAGACTACCTGTAACAAAACATTTCGTCAGTTAGTGTTGTGTGATTGATTGGCTACTCCTAGCTGTCCAATTAAATAGCATAAAAGACAGAAAAATGGGAAGAGGTAAAAGAATTGTCAATGACCAATAATTTGTACGAAAAAATAACAGGAAATTAGACACAGTTTAATAGTAATCACTAGAACTAAGTGTCCAAGGAAATGGTGCGCCGTTGGGTTAGCGGTAGAATACTCACCAACCACACACGTGGTCCGGGGTTCGAACTTGGGCCGACGCATTCCCTAACCTCGCTTAGCCGGAGGTTAATAACCTTACCCCATAAGAAAATACCACTGCTACTGTAACTTTAAAGCTAAAGCCCTGTTTTCCACTCGGAAAGCAAAGGAATAAGACTGAAGAATTGAACTGATTATCTGAGGAAATGTGATGGACAAATATAATACAGAAATTGATACAACTTATGAAAACATTGATAAAAAAGATAGTGAGGATTAAATTTGGAAACAAGGCTACTACACAAACAAAAGAAGAGTATTCCAGACAAATCACTTTTAAGAAAAACAGTAAAGTTTGCTTTAGGAAAACCAAATAGTGAGAGTTGCACTGTCTTAAGCCTACCAAGCGAACGTTTATGAAAGGATAAGTGGAAGCCAAAGTAGTACTCCTGTGTTAAGTCAACATCAGAATGGTTAATCTGTTTTACCGATGGAGTTTAGAAGTTTATGATTAGCCAAATTAGCCAACAGGAACTACTATAGATGCACTCCCGTCATTCTACCTGAAAATAACCTCAAAACCTCAGTGAAATTAGGAGTATTGACTTCTCAAGTCCTAGATTAAATTTCACTTTTCAAATATTCCTGCCTGGAATATTCTTTTCATCTATTTTATGAAAATCTCATTTATAAGCTGTTGTGAGTTTTGCTAGTTTGAACCGATCTGATCCTATCCTATCCTTTATAAGCTTGTCGGATGATACTTATTTTGTCTGATAACACAGCTGGAATAACGCCTGCTCTTAATACTTGAAATTCCTATCGAAAAATGTTAAATATTTTTATTTTATTGTAATGTAGGATCTTCATTTGACGGTATATTCAATCTCAGTGAAAATTATTTTGGAATTATTATCATACTCAAGGAAAATTGATTTTTCACCAACATACACTTCATCCTCACTATTACCATCACCAACATCGTCGTCATTGTCATCGGCATCGAATCATATCTCCTCATCAAGTGTGTTACAGTCATCATCATCATCAATTGGCAGATTACTTCAATTTCGTACAATTCGTTTAAAGTCACTCAAGCTAAAATCACATGAACAATCTTATTGGAAGTCATTCATTTTATGGTTTATTAATTTCTTTATTAATTCAATCAAGGGCTTATTAATAAAACGTTTAGATCGTATTATTATCAATGTATTGAATGACCAGATAATGGATTTACATTTAACACCATTATTTATATCTAATGACAATAGAATAACATCAATGAGTGAAGATGTTCAAAAGTCAATACAGACAGCAGAGACAAACGAGAAACAGTTGGTTGTCAAGTCTAAAAGTATGCCAGCCTCACCCATTGTTGGCTGACGTCTTTATTATTGTATGTATATAGGCTGGCGGTAAATGAAATAAGTCTTCAAAAGACACTCGATTGTGAGTGAACTAGTGTTTGTACACATTTATTCTTATGTATTTGAGTAGCCTAGCTTCATGCCTTATACAGTCAGCCTATATATATATATATATATATATATATATACATGCATACTGTACAAAATGAATAAATTGGACAACTCATGTAAAACTACTTGAATAAACCAGTAATATACATATTTATATGTATTCAGTCAATTATTTTCTTGGTTCTTCATCTTACCTTGTTATCGAGTGACTAATGCCAGCTTTTAACAGGATAAGCCGAACGAGATCAAATAGTGAATTGAATGTCACGAAATATGTGTATCCTATTACTATATTATGTTTCGCAGCACGTTGAGTTCAGTGAGGACACCGAACCAGGTGACAGACGCAGTAATCAGAAGTATCTCTAGACTATGAGAACAACACATAACACGGTTAACCGATCTTACAGCCCAAAACTTAAAGTAGAACACACTAAGAGCAGATAAAATAACCAAGAACATTGGCGTGACAGAAAATATCCAGACTACCGGGATCCAATCTCACCGTAACATGCCTCACGTCTGATTGGTCCCTAGGTTGTAACTAGTATCATGCGTTTAGAAATGGGTGTTGGTGTCGTCTGAATTCTGTCATTTAACTATGCAGTATGATCACAAAGCTAGGCGACTTATCGTCACAGTGCTTCATGAGTTGATATTACATGATTGGAGGCAATTAACAGGATGCCCCGGATAAAGGTTTTGTGCTTACTGGCATTAGTCAGCAAAGCGTACCTGTAAACTTGACGGAATTGTTATCCCCTGTGAGATAGTTTCAGATTTATCATCAAGTGTTGATTTGCAGGGGTTTGACTGATTAAGGGTTCGGTAACCAGTTAATATCAGTTAGGGAACCTTTGGAAAACTTCGGAGGACCAGACAGCCGTTTCGTCCTAGTTTGTGACTGCTCTAAAGAACTCACCTACTCGGATTCGAACCCAGGACCTTCCGGTTACAAGACGTACCCGTATACTATTCATTCAAGGCCAGGTGGGCGAATGGTATACGAGTCCGCCTTGTAACCGGGAAGTCTTGAGTTCGAATTCCAGTGGGTGCGTACTGTGAAGAGCCCCACACTAGGAAGAAACGGCTGTTCAGTCCTGCCAGGTTTCATATTTATCCCGAAACATGCTTCATGCGCTTTAACAACGGACTTTAAACATTCTATCTTTAAATAATCAAAGTATTGTGATTCAAACTACTAAGCTGGATGTTTTCAGTGAAAGATATTTCAAAATTCTGTAGTAAGTCAGGCTGACTGTGAATCAATAGGTCACGAGTTCAAAACTTTGTTCTCCTAACAAGTTTTTGTCCAAATGAGTAGTGTTATAAGTCTTCATAAAATAAATTCAGTTGTAACCCTAGTATACCATTGTGATTTATCATCTAGTAGTAGTGTTAAGTCTCGAAATTTAATAAGCTTTAGACGCTTCGATGTTTTTCAAAATAAATTCATCTAGTGAACTCTATCAGATAATCAGCAGAGTTTACACTAAATATACAAATATGAACCTCATATAAAAATGAGCATGTGTCAATACATTTTTAATCTTTTATCAATAAAACAACGTCTATTATTAGTTTATTAAATGTGGAAAATGGTGTTGAGATAAATTTACTGATGTCGACAGTGGTTGATTTAGTTTTATTGATCACAGAGAATATAAGTTGCTTCAAAGCTATAGGTGCGTCATGCTAACGAGTGTTAAAGGGTATCCTGACGCCAAAAACAACTGGAACCTCATATCTAATAATAAAAGCAAAACAAAACAATCTCAAGGAAGTGGAGGCGCAGCCTGCTGGACACAAAAGTAAGAAGAGGAGCAGACATTGGCTCAAACCACTATCTCGTACAAGGGACAATCCAAATCAAATTAAAAGCTTTCAGAGAATCAGGAGCTGCAGATAGACCACAAGCCAAGTTCAACACTCAAAAACTGAAGGACCAGGACACAAAGGACATCTTCACTGCAAGTATAAAAGATAAAGCCTAGACACAAATCAACACTGGCGAAGAGGTCAGCGTCGAAAAGCACTGGAACAACTTGAAGACAGTGTGGAGTCAAACCTGCATGGAAGTTCTAGGCAGAAAGAAGAGACAGGACAAACAGTGGCTCACTACGGACACTTGGAAACTAATAGAAGAGAGAGGAATGGTGAAACAAAAGATTCTCCAGTGCACCGACGAGCAACAAAAACAGGATTTGAATGCAAGCTACAAGACACTGAACAAAAGAGTAAAGAAGAGTGCCAGAGAAGACAAAAGAAAGTACTATGGAACCATGGCAAGTGAGGCAGAACAAGCTGCAGGCAAAGGAGACCTCGCAACACTCTACCAAACTACTAGGTACCTATCGGGCAAACGTTTGACACAAATCAAGCCGGCGAAAGATGATAACGGAAAGTCACTCACAAAAGAAGTGGAGCAAAGGAAACACTGAGCTAAACACTTCAAAAGACTCCTAAATCGACCACCTCCTACAACACGCCCAACAATACCAACAACGGAGAAAGAGCTACCAGTGAACACCAACCCCCCCCCCCCCCCGACGAAATCAGAAGTCCTGAAGGCAATCAAGATGCTAAAAGTTGGAAAAGCAGCAGGACCAGATGGAATCCCAGCAGAAGCATTGAAAACGGCCCCAGAGACAACAGCGGACTTGATGACGCCACTACTGGAGAAGGTGTGGAAAGAAGGCAAAGTACCCGAGGATTGGAAGAAAGGATACTTATTCAAACTATCAAAGAAAGGAGACCTAAGTCAATGCAAGAACTGGCGCGGAATTATGCTCCTGTCCATCCCAAGCGAAATACTAAGCCGCATCATCCTGGAGAGAATCAAACATGCCAACCTGGATGAAGAACTTCGACCGGAACAGGCTGGATTCAGGAGGAACAAGTCATGCATTGACCAGATCGCCACATTACGGATCATCATTGAGCAAAGCTTAGAGTGGCAGTCACCTCTCTATCTCAACTTCATCGACTTTGAAAAGGCCTTTGACAGCGTCGATCGAGAGGGGATTTGGAAACTACTTCGCTACTACGGTGTGCCACCGACAATTATACATCTCATCCAACAGCTGTACGACAATGCTGCATGCCAAGTAATCCACAACGGGAAACTTACGGAATCCTTCGAAGTGAGTACAGGAGTAAGACAAGCTGGCTGCCTACTATCGCCATTGATTTTCCTGATTGCAGTAGATTGGATTATGCGACAAACAGCGGGCAACGAAGAGACAGGCATAAAGTGGACTCACACAGAAAACTTGCAGGATCTGCACTTCGCCTGTCTGATTTCCCACAAACTGGAAGATATGCAAGCGAAAAGCAACAAGTTGGCAGAAGAAGCATCCAGAGAAGATAGGACTTCAGGTGAACATAGAGAAAACAGAGGTGATGAAGATTCCTGGGAAACATCACCAGCAGCAGCAACAACAAGAGACAACGATCAGAATAAATGGAAGGAACCTGAAAGAAACAACCTCTTTTACCTACCTCGGAAGCATCGTTTCAACTACAGGCGGACGGAACTGATGAGGATATCAAAGCAAGAATCGGAAAAGCAAGACAAGCTTTCACTACTCTCAAGTCTGTGTGGAGGTCAACAACACTCGGCATCAAAAATAAAATCCGGATTTTCAACTCCGATGTGAAGTCAGTGCTACTTAACATACGGATCAGAGACTTGCACTGTTTGTCATAAAGAGCATCTCAAACAAACTACAGACCTTCATTAACAGTTGTCTTCGCTCAATACTCAAGATCAGATGGCCAGAAAAGATCAGCAACAGGGATCTCTGGGAGCGAACCAACACAGCGGAAACCGATTGTGAAACAAATAGGCAGGAAGAAATGGAGATGGATTGGCTGGCCATACTCTAAAGAAACCATCAAGTGACATCATTAGACAAGCCATCGCTCGAGTGGAACCCGAAAGGGAAGCGGTGAGTTGGTCGTCAGTGCGAGGGTGACTTGGAGGAGGTCATGTGAAGAGGAGATGAAAGCGTGTGAGCAGACTTGGAGCCAGGTGAAGAGTCTAGCAGAGAACCGAACGCAATGGAGACTTGTGGCTGAAGCCCTATGTTCCTGTAGGAATTAAAGGAGACAATAATAATAAAAACAAAACAGTTTTGCTGCTTCTGCTGCATCAGTCTTCAAACCTGGATTCTTAGCACCTCGTGGACCACAACGAGTTAAAGTTTCAGCCAATATATATATATATATATATATATATATATATATAATTCAATTTAGATTTTCCCGTCGACTGACTGGACCGAAGTGCTCGGTCACAGGTTGACATGTTGGCTCCTTGTGCAGATGCTTCGACGATGTCTGGTCATGTAACCTGAAGTCACTTGGTTGATGGTGACTAGCAGTGGAATCCAGGATGTGCATTTCGCCTTATTTGAGACTCATCATCTGGATGTACATATATATATATATACATATATACTAAAGCATTGAAAGTTAGCTTCTGGTAAAGTTGTCATCAGATAACCAGTACAAAATATAAAAAAGTAGAATTATATACAAAAATTGTTTGTTCACTGATAAAACAAGCTATTTCAGAGTTATAACATCCAATCAATGAATAAGATTCATTTGTATAGCTGAGAAATATAAGTTTATTGAAACAATAGAATCACTGTTGCTCAATGGGAATATTTCACTGAATGTGAATTGAAATGAAAATAAGACATTGAATCTCTGGTTTTCATTACTGAATAGACAGTACATAAAGCTTTTAAAGATTGAATTAACTTGTTTGAAAGGTGAAATTAATAAGACATTAACTGACTCAATTACTACGTTGCCAGTATGAATGCATACACTGTTTTTTGTGAAAACTGTTCATTAGCTCTAACGAACAACTATCACCAGGATGTGTTGACCGGG